CAATTCCAGGTTTTTTCCTTGTTTGCCAGCCCCAGCGGGAAGAAGTTCCGGAGCAAGCCGCAGCTGGCGCGCTACCTCGGCAATTCCGTGGATTTGAGCTCCTTTGATTTCCGCACGGGGAAGATGATGCCCAGCAAGCTGCAGAAGAACAAACAACGCCTGAGGAACGACGCCCTCAACCCCAACAAGGTCAGCCAAAACAATTCCAAAAGTTTTCCCAAAGTTTTCCCATTTTTTTCCCATTTTTTCCCATTTTTTTCCCATTTTTTCCCCGTTTTTCCTGATTTTTTTACAGATTTTTTCACAGATTTATTCCCATATTTTATTTCAGATTTTTTCCAATTTTTTTCCCAAATTTTACCCATTTTTTCCTTTTTTTTCCCCATTTTTTTCCTGATTTTTCCTGATTTTTTTCAGATTTTTTTACAGATTTACTCCCATATTTTTCCCAATTTTATCCCAATTTTATCCCAAATTTCCCCATATTTTTCCCATTTTTTTCTCATTTTTACCCATTTTTCTCCATTTTTTTCCCATTTTTTTCCCCATTTTTTCCCATTTTTCTCCATTTTTTCCCACAGTTTTTTCCTGATTTTAACTGATTTTTGTGGAATTTTTTCGCAGATTTTTTCTCATATTTTTCCCAATTGTATCTTAAAGTTTTCCCAAATTTCCTCATATTTTTCCCATTTTTTCCCTTTTTTTTCTCATATTTTCCCATTTTTTTCCTTTTTTTTCCAAATTTTTTCCCTTTTTTTTTTGCTTTTTTTCCCTGATTTTTCCTGATTTTTTGCCAATTTTTCCCCAATTTTTCCCCATATTTTCCCCATATTTATCCCAATTTTTTCCCAAATTTCCCCATTTTTAAAAATTTTTCCCCATTTTGTTTCCCATTTTTTCCTGATTTTTCCAGATTTTTTATGAGTTTTTCGCAGCTTTTCCCCCAAATTATTACCAATTTTATTCCAAATTTTTCCCAAATTTCCCCATGTTTCTCTCATTTTTTCCCATTTTTTCCCTATTCTTTTTACTGATTTTTCCTGATTTTTTCAGATTTTTTCCAAATTTTTTCCCCAAATTTCCCTATATTTTTCTCAATTTTTTTCCCATTTTTTTCCCCCATTTTTTTCCTGAGTTTTCCAAATTTTTTCCAGTTTTTATGTGGATTTCTTTCCCATTTTTTTCCCAAATTTTCCCCAATTTTTCTCATTTTTTTCCCATTTTTTTCCTGGTTTTTCCTGATTCTTCACGGATTTTTTCACAGATTTATTCCCATATTTTTCCCAAATTTATCCCAAATTTTTCCCAAATTTCCCCATTTTTTTCCCATTTTTTCCCCATTTTTTCTCATATTTCCCTTTTTTCCATTTTTTCCAAATTTTCTCCCATTTTTTTCCCATTCTTTTTTTTTCCTGATTTTTCCTGATTTTTTGCTGATTTTCCCCATATTTTCCCCATTTTTATCCCAATTTTTTTCCCAAACTTCCCCATATTTTTCTCTTTTTTTCCCATTTTTTCCCCATTTTTTTTCCTGATTTTTCCTGATTTTTTCCAATTTTTTCCCGTTTTTTCCCAAGTTTTCCCCAATTTTTTCCTATTTTTTCCTATTTTTTTCTCATTTTTTCAGGATTTTTCCTGATTTTTTTACAG